CTCCCTCCCCCCTCCCTCCCTCCCTCCCTCCCTCCCTCCCTCCCTCCCTCCCTCCCTCTCTCCCTTCCTCTCTCCCTCCGTCACTTCCTCTCTCTCTCTCTCTCTCTCTCTCTCTCTCGATGTTTGTATGGTCGCGTTTGGGGAGCCATCTCTTTCCCAGAGATTTTTCCCCTTTGGACTTGGCGCCACTCGGCAAGCCCCCCCCCGGCCGCGTCGGAACGCCAGGTGCAGCGCTCCCGGCTGGCCGCCGCGGAGGCGAAGCTCTCGAAGTTTGCGGCGCTGGAGTCCAAGGCCAGGGGGACTCAAAGGGCCGAGTTTGGTTTTCCCAGAGGAGAAAGCAGTGGACATGTCTCTCTCTTTTGTTTCCTTCTTAAACACATAAAAATAAATAAATAAATAAATATATTATATATAATTAAAGGACGGTTTCTCGTAGTTTTGTTGCTCTCTTAGTTTCTGACATCATTGTGTGCTTTGAGAAACATGCAGTGCTTTGTGTGTTTGGAAACCGTGGGATATGCTTGGATTTTGTTTCACATTAGGGAGCAAATTACACTGCCTGCATCAGCCGAATGCAGTGCCCAAGTCAATCTGCGGCATGCGAGCCATTTTTAGGCTCTCAGCAGAAATATGTTACGTTGTCTGCGAGGGACCTTATTCACAAAAAACAGACTTGGCTCGAATTTGTCCCAGGGTCTGTGGAGGCATTCTTTCGGCAATGCAACAGGTGGATTTCATGGAGTCTCAGATGTCCCAACAGCTTGAGGAGCAGGCTTGCTTTGCAGAAGAGCGGGTCAGCCAGCAAGAGTCGCGATCGTGGTTCTTTTTGCTGTCACGATTTCACGCGTTTTTCTGGAATACCAGAATCTTGGTGACAGTCCAGGGCCAACATGGTGATCCATATCCATCTCCGGCGCTGTCAGCTTGATAGCTCTGTCCTGCAGGCGCAGCAATTCCGGAATGTCGGCGAGCTGCAGCAGAGGCTTGTTCAGAAGCTGTCCGCCACAGAGGCCACACCGGGATCCATGCACTCCGTGCAGGTAGGAATCCGTGGGCCCAAAAGTTTGGTTCCACTGCGTGAGATGCAACGGGACATGACGCACACGGCGACGACCTAGGAGTACATAAGCCTCACCAATTTCGCATGTCAATAAGACAAATGGTGAGATGGGTCTTTGTGCGAGGCTTTACCACCTCAAAGGCTTATGCCTTTGCCACCTCAAAGGTCAGTAAATCAAATGCGACAGCTGACCCTTGAGCGCGTGTTGTGAGCCGGATGCAGGCCTCCTGCCAGCGGGTGGAAGCACAGGGCTCGGTTCTACAAGCAAAGTTGCAGGCGCAGATGGAGGAGGCGCAGCGCTTCAGAGCATGGAATCAGAGGAATGAGCCGCCGTGCCCGTGACAGGACAGGGATCGTCACTCCAGCAGCTTCGAATCGATGCAGCTGCGTTTGGTTCAACGCCTCGAGGAGGTGGGCACTGGGCTTGTCGTCGGTTTTGGTTTGGGCATTGGCTACTGGATGTGTGTATGAATGTGCTGCTGGGCTGCAAAAGGTGGAGGGTCGGTCATCCCGCTACGCCACTCGTGGGAGGGCTCAGACTGAGAAGAATGGCTGGGGGAGTCCGAATTCAGGACATCTCAACATCCGTCAATGTCCGTGGCCATGGCTCTGCTAAGGCTCTGAAAAGGATCTTGTGGATAACATGACCGTGCCACCCTCAGCCCTTTCCGAATAAGCGCGCTGTGTCTTAGATATGCGAAGTTGTGCCTGCAAGAGAGTAAGAGAGAGAGAGAGAGAGCGAGCCATGAAGAGAATGAATTAAGCAGAATTGAGCCGCAAGGCGCATGCTTCACTTGAAGCCTTGCACCGGCCTTTTGGCAGGCCTTGGCGCAGAAAATCTCTGAAGACAATGCTGCTGCGCAGCGACAGGTGGGGAACTCGAGGGCGGGGTGACTTTTAAAGACAACAGCACGTACAGGCGCACTACGACACATTCATTTATTGTAAACACTTCACGCTGCCGCTTTGGCAAATATCAGCCGGATTCTGTTGGTTGGCTTTGAAGTGTGGGTATACCTGAGGTTTCAACGTGGGCAATTCTAGTTCAATTTTTGGGCCCTGGGATTTTGGAAAAGCAATTTTATGTTAGAGGAGCCTTTCTTAGATGAAGGGATGAAACCAGAGGAACGACGCAAGCTGGAGAAAAAAAGATACCGGGGCTGGGCCAGGCATTCTGGGCTTGGAGACGAGAGCTAGTCCAAGGGCTTTAGGGCAGCTGGAGGCAGCTGGAGCACGGTTTGTCCAGTTCTGGATTTGAAGGGGTTGGGGTTGGGGCTTGGGAAGATCCGATGATCTAAGCAGGGGTCTGACCGCTTTCCGGCCCTGGGGCCGGGTCGGATTGCCCGATCTTCAAGTGCGATGGGCGCTAAAGCGCTACAGGCACTCAAGGCACTCAAGGCATTAAAGGCACTAAAGGCACCAAAGGCGCTAAAGGCATTAAAAGCACTTAGAGGCCATGGGAGTTCCAGGCTGACAAGCGGCTCCACAGCATCGAGGAGCGCTGCGACCAAGTGGTCCAGGCTGTCCGAGGGTTGCTGGCAGGCTAACAGAATTTGCAAGAGCTCATAGAGTGCGAGCGCCTGCAAGTGATTTGAAGCACGTTTGACGCATTTGCCACTCCAGACTCCCTTTCAAGTCACAGCATTCCGTTGTGCACCTGCGCAGATGGCTCGGGTGCAGATGGAGAGGGGCGTTCAGGACTATCTTTCGGTCAAGTTGTCATTTGCACAGGGCCATCAGTCTCTGTTTCAGTTTCAGTGATGATGCCATCTTCATCCCAAGCAGCCACGAAGCCTTGCTTGAATCTGACGCTTGTTTTGCCCCCAGCAGACCCTCCTTGGCACGCCAACGCATGACTTGCTTCATGTGCTCTTGAATGAGGACTTGAAAGTGGAAGCAGAGGCAACAAAGAATGCAGGAAGCCAAGCTGTACCAAAACAAGCACCTGGGCCTGGGTCCGTTCATCTCGCTCAAACGGCGTTTAAACTGTCCACAAGTGACACAAGAGTATATCAGCATGACACCTCTTTGGTTCTTTGCTTCTGAGGCCCTAGAGATGGACTTGCACCGGGCGGAGCGCTTCATGCAAGAGATGGGCTCCAAGATCTCGTCTCAGGACCCGGTCCTGGCTGAGCCTTCTCTGATGTCGCGGATTCGGCTCTTTTGGAGATTTAGCACAAAGAGGACTTGGTTTTGCTGGAGGGATCTGGTTTCTTCAGAGAAATAGCGCGCCTACAAAGTTTATGAGGGGCAAGCACAGAGTGAATAGTGCATCTTGTTGTAATAGTTTGTAACAGGGCACAAGTACAAACAAACATTCTGACGTGTTTGATGTTGAGAAAGGAGGTGTAGCTGAGGCCTAGCAGGATTTCTCAAAGAAGTGCATGGACTACAAAGAACATATGCAGAATTATTTTTGTTTAAGCGTAACCAGAATACCTGGTGTGGTATGAGACTTGTCGCGCCGCTCTTTCGCATGTTCAGGAGGCTCAGCTTCTGCGAATGTCTGAAATGGATGTCCAGCGGCCGCATCCTCATGGGTCAGGGGGAAGCTGGTTTGCGGCATAGTTTGAATCTACGGGCTCAATCTGCATCACTGAGGTCCAGACTTGAAACTCTGGAGTCCAAGGTCAACGAAGTTCAGGCGCTTGCCATGGGCATTGCATGATAGGGGAAACGTTGGGAGCTCTTGGCATCCATCGTCCAGGGCGAGCAGCGGACTTTGCGAGATGTGAAAGCCATCGTAGACGCTCACAAGTTGCAGGCTCGGCGGAAATCACTTGGTGAGCCAACTGGAGAATCACCAGCTAGAGTTGCAACCGGATCGGCAGTGTGGTTGTAGGGGTTTTAGAACAGACTCGCGATTTCTGTCTCGTTTGCGGTGACTGCGAGGCTGACCGTCGCCATGGCGACTTGGAGATCTCCATGACATCTTTAGAGGACTGCGAGCTGTCTCAGGTTTGAGTGCTCCAAAAGACTGAAGCCTTGTGGGGAGCATCTGAGGGTATCTCTCACCCAGGAGCAATTGCGGGGGAGGGAGCAGAGACGAAGCAATGATGTGGAGGAGCAAAGGCAGGGCGTGTTTTTTTGTTCGGAATGGATGAGGTCGATGGTCAATGGTTGCATCGGGCTGACGGCCAGGGCCCGCTACGAAGGCTTGGAGAGTCGGCTCACAGAAGTCCAGGCCGGAGCTGCCACTCGAGTCGAAGCGGTTGCTTCGGTGAATTCAGGTCGGCCAAGTGCGGCAAAATACGACTTTGGAGAACCTGACTGCCACCCTGACGAATCTGGAGCCCAAGACCGTGGGCCAAATCGCAGACATGGCACGCCTAGAGCAGGCAATCCTGGTTTTGCAGCAGCAGCAGCGCAACCAGAGTTTTGCCACCACCATGGGCTCCCTGGATAGAAGTGGAGTCACAGAACCGGCGTCGCCGACCAGGGCATCAAGTCCGGTGGGGCGCCGCGTGGAGGATCGGGTCCGCAGGCTGGAGGACGCGGTGGACTTGCTGCCTCCGCGGCTCCAGGACCGGCTACGGGCGCTGGAGAACGCCTCGGGGTCCTCGGAGCTGCGCAGCAGCTCCGCCGCCTCCGCGGCGGTGAACGCGGTCGCGGCCTCGCTGGCGCCCCAGTTGGAGGAGCTCCGCACGCGCCTGGGGCTGCTGGGCCAACAGCAGGGCGACCTGGACTCGCGCCTGCGCCGGGCCGAAAGCCGCGAGAGGCCGGCCGCTCATCAGCCGGCCATGCAGGAGCCCGTTGCCCAACCCGCGAGGGAGCCTGCGGTGGACTCGCGAAACGCCTCGCCCAAGAACAGCCCGGAAATCTCGGAGCTGGAAGCTCGGCTCAGCCGTTTGGAGGATCATCTACTGACGTTGGACAGTTTGGATAGTAGCGGCATGGAGACCAGTGCGTTGCCCTCTGGAGCAACGCTGCAGGTTACCCTCGATTGCATCGGAGATTCCGAAGAGCCGATCAGCTCAAGCGACATTCGAAGTGCTTTGCAAGAAGTGGAGAGCGTGGAGCTGCTGCGCGTGGATTTCCCGGACCGTGACCGCGCCGCGGTTTGCTGGGTCTCCACCGGCTCCGGCGCTGCGGAGACCCGGCTCCGGCGTTTGCTGGAGGACTCTGACAGCGTCCTGCGCCAACGGCTGGGGGTCTTGGAGGTCTCCAGGGTCTCGGCCACGCCGGCCGCAGCACAGGCTGTGGCCCGGCAGCTCTCGACGCGCGTGGGCAGCTTGGAGGAGGCCCAGCGGCAGCTGGCAGAGGGCCTCGGCAGCGTCGAGCGCCAGGTGCTAAATATCGAGGGAAGGTTGGCCGGCAGCCTGGGGTTGTCCACTTTCTCCCGCAGACCTATGCCAAGCTTCCCCGCCCTGCCATCCTCCTACTCCGAGCCGGTGATGGAGCCCACCACCGAGCCGGTCGCCCGGGCGGGAAGAAGCAATGCACCACGCGAAGCTGATGAGGAGGGCTCTGTGAGAGACCTGGACTTCGGCGCAGCATTGGATGGGTCCCCCCCGCCTGACTCTCGACACCTTCCGCATTTCCGCAGCCTAGCAGCAGAAGAAAGGAGGCTTGAAATGGAGAGGGCTGCTGAACGGCGAGAGCAAGAAAGGAGAGTGCAGGAGGAGACCCAAAGAAAGCGCGAGCAGGCCTGTTTGTGGTTGACAAGCAGGGAAGGCTGCAACTTTCTGCTCACTGACAGGGGGAATATGACACAACTAGGGGGCCCCGAAAAGGTTGGCAACCCACATAGTTTCGATTTCCCCCCCCCCCCCCCAATCAGATAGAGCCAGCTCTATCACAGAGCTGATGTTTTCAGGAGGCGGCGGATCGCGTGCGTCGGGAGTTGGAGGAGGCGGAGGTGAAGAGGAAGGACTGAGCTACTTCCTCTGGGAGGATGTGAGATGTATTTTGAAAAGCATTCTGCTCATTCGAATTCTCTTTGGTTGTCTCTGGGCTTCTCGTCGTTTTGTCATAGGCACGAATTCGTGTTCTGGTCGGTGTGCGCCGACTTACTCAGTACTATTGCTCATTTGATATAGAGTTTTGTGAATCCATGAAACGATGGCTTCAGCCGGGAAAGCTTCAGCTTTTGCCTGTTGGTGAATAAACATCCTCCTCTTCTGCGAAACCTTCACGTTCGCTTCCCATTTGCCTTTGCAGAGTCTTCTCCATTTGAGATGTAGCTAGGGATCGTGTGAATGCGTGTGTGTGATGTCCGTCCGCTTTGGCGGTGTTCGGGTCAGCATGAACCGAGCCGCAAGTTGTCCCATGGCACGAGCCCAATGTTGACCCAAGGGGCATTTTGGAGATGTAAAGCAAAGTCACCACGGCACATCGCCGTGACGGCCCCTTGTTGGGCCGGCCAGGAGGCCTTGGAATTCCACCGGCGGCGGATGCAGGAGGAGAGCGCGGCCCGCTCAGCGCAGCTGGCGGAGGAGGCCAAGGAGGGGGAGCTGCGGAGGAAGCGTCAGCAGGCCGGGGGCTTTTTGCATCCCGCGCTCAGTCACTTGGGTGTCGGTCAAAATTAAACCACCAGGGGAACCGCAGGTTGTAGTCAGGGTTCCATTTTGGGTACATATTTTTGACCCACAGCCACTTTGGCGTTTGTGGCGGGTGTAAGTCCTTCTCCTGGAAGCCACGCAGGGACCCAAATACCCCTGTCGCCCTTGAGGGGCAAATCACTGCAACGCAAATTGTTGTTCAAGAAAGCGGCCCTGGTCCTGTCGCACAAACTGGACCGGCCAGGAGGAGGCGGAGGAAGCTGAGCGGAAGATCCGGGAGGAGCAGGAGAGGCAGCGGCAGCAGCGAAAAGATGAGGATGAGCGGCGCAAGAAGGAGGAGGAGCAGGACGCAAGGGAAATTGCGGCACAGAAGAAGAGGGAGCAGGAGCAGAGGATGAGAGATGACGAGCAAAGAAGGAAGGAAGCAGATGAGAAGAACCGAAAGGAAGCGGAGGAGGCAAGAATAAAAGAAGCAGAAGAGGCTGAGGCGGAGGAGAAGAAAAGGAAAGAGGCGGAGGCGCAAAAGAAGCGGGAAGCTGAGGAGCAAATGAGAAAGGAGGCTGAGGAGCAGGAGAGAAGAGAAGCAATGGAAGCAGAAGAACAGAGGAAAAGGCAAGAAGCAGAAGAGGCCGAAGAGGCCAGACAAGCGCAACAGAAGGCACAGGAGGCGAAGCAAAAGCAGCTGGAGGCGAAGCGGGCCAATCGCTTGCTGGATGATTTCCGGCCGGTCTGCTGGCGCGGCCATTTCCTTGTCATGTGATCACGGACCCCTTCTCAGGTTTATAAATCACGCAAAGCAGGGCAAGGCCATCCTTGTCCCTCACCAGCAAACATGTCACAGACACACACACACACACAGGTAAGGAGGTGTATACACCATGAGGCGAACACCGATGTGCGCTTTAGAGGCTGCGCGTGCTGCAGCTGGAGTGGTGCAGCCCAAGGAACACACGCCGACCTCGCAGGCACTCGGGGGTTTCGTTTCGCACATATGAGGCACCAACTTGTCAGCTCCACGAACCTTTGTCCCAGTTGGCTGCAGGAAGGGACAGCCTTGAGTTTGCCGTTTGCCGAGTCAAGTGACCGCATTTTGATGGCTTCATGTCAGATGGGAACCGGAGAAGACACCCTGGCGTTGCACACACGGCACGTGAACGCCGCAGGCTGGTGCCCCAAAGCCTGGCTTCGAGAAGCGTCGAGCGCGCCGGCGGCTCAGAGCTCAACGACATGATGAAGACGTGTGACGTGTGATGAATCGGCGGAGGCCATGCATTTGAACACCATGGGCTTGTGAGATTTGTGTTTCAAAGAATCACTCAGGTGAGAGGAGCGCTAGCTTTCCAAGTTTGGCCTCGGATTTGCCGAGGAGTCACTGGGTTGCCCCCAACTGCACGAGCATCAGCGAGATCCAAAGAGGAGGAGATCAAGAAGGCGACACCCTTGTTGCAAGACACTGGGACTCGGGGGCTCATAGATTCAGTGAGTGACTCCTATTTGCCGGCCGAGATGTATTGTGTGAGTCATATGAATAGACAATGAGGAATCGAGATTGCCAGCCCTGTCCACCACAAGGTACCCCCCCCGTCTTTTTCCAGTGTTTTGTGCCTTTTCTGCCTCGTTTATTTTGGCAAAATTGGAGTGGGGAGGGGGTCGGGGGGAGGGGGTCGGGGGGTGGGTGGGTCGGTGGGTGGGTGCGTATATATACATATATACATGCATATGCAATGTAAGCCTAGCTATCAACATTTACCATTTGACAGAGCTGCATGCATCTCAGAGTATTGGGAGACAACGCTGAATTTTTGCCTTTACACATAAACATTATGGGATTCAACAATTCGAGATTCAAGAATCTGTGAAAAGTATTTTTGGGTATCTTGAATCCCATAACTTTTGCAAAAATAAAAACGGGTTGTCTCAATACTCTAGGTGTTCAATACATACTTCCGCAACCAAGTATGCACACCCATCTGCAGTCATATGCATTTAATTTGCAACCCTCCAAGTTCCCGCGATTTCTGGAGTCAAAGTGAGAGGACAAGATTCTCGGAAAATCTTTCCGTGAAATATGTTAATCTTGAATCTTCAATCCAGTGGTAGAATACATTCGAGGTTTTAGAACAACTTGAGCGATTTTTGGGTTGGCCAGGATGGATGATTCTCGGGAAAGTTGTTGTCTGTGCAGTCTTCAATTTTAAATCCTCAATCCAGTGGGAAAGCACTTTCAAGTGTTAGAAGAACTTGAATGTTCTTTAGGTTTGGCCAGGATTGACGATTCTCAGGACAATTTTCGGTGTAATCTTCAAAATACTTTCAAGCGCGAAGCACTTTCAAGTTCTTAATTAAACAAGTGCTTTTGGTGAGCGGTTTGCTTCATGTAAGCTATGCTCATGTTGTCCCTTTTCCAGGAGGTAAAGGTAGGTGGAATGCTGAAAACAAGCCTTTTATGAAGAGGCGCAGGATCATGAGGGCACTATATGTTTGTTTGTATGTGTACATATTTCAAAAGAAAGGTTCACACACCATCACCCCCCTGAACTCCCTGTCCACGTCTGCTCGTCTAACAAGTTTAATTTCGGACCTTTCTTATACTATAAAAGGGCACAATGTAAATGACACAAATCGTATTTCGAGTTTCCTTGTAGAAGTCCCTCAACTGTTTAGCCATATTTAATATTAACTATATTTGAGACTTAGGTTCTTTTTTAATTGCAAAATCAACAGCTAACGTGTCTTCATATCAGATTACATTTTAGCACTCAAAAACATATTTGGGAATAACCTCCTATCTGTTTTTTTGTTAAATATTAGTTGGAGTTTACCCGAACTTATATTTACATTTTAATGTAGCTCCTTTTTCGAAATTGTTGGTTTAGTTAGGTTATATTTGAACATAAACCACATTTGGGAAAGCTATATCCCTACTAAGTTGTATAAAAAGTCCAATTCTAGTTGATGTAAAGTCTTATTTTCTGGGCCTGCGGCCTCTAGCCGGCTACGCCTCTTTGAAGTTATACCACGTCATGTCATGTTTTGTGCATGAGAAACATATCCTGTGCTATGATATGGCTATGTTGCCCACCTTAACCCCAGATAATGCCGGGGATGCCGGCTTTCTGGGCCCCAGCCGGGCCCCAACCCAGAAGGCTGACATGGGGTCGCGCGCGCGCGCGCGCCAGAAGACCCAACAAAAAGCAGCCGAAAAAGAGCAGCCCGCAAGCCAGCCCGGAAACGCAAACGCAACAAAACACCGTAAATAGCAGCGTTTTGTGGCTGGGGTCGCGCGCGCGCGCCAAAAAGCCCGAAAACCAACGGCGAAAAAGCACGGACTGCGCAGCTCGCGAGCCAGCCACAGCAAGAGCAAAACGGACAGAACAACAGCCCAACGCTCAGCGCAGCAGTTTTTTGCGGTATTTACAGCGTTTTGGAGAGCGAGGACCCAGCATCACCGGCATGCCCGGCAGCGCTTGGCGCCAAAATGCGCAAAAATGAGCCTCGCTTATACCCTCCGATACCTTCTTAAAAACAGTGCTTTTTGGGTTGAGAGGCTTTTTAAAAGGAAGTCTTGATGATGCAGGCCAAGCCCCGCTGAAGCATCGCCCAGGCCCAACCCCAGACCCTGACGATGTCAGCCACATGGCCTAAACCCTGCATATACGCGACGTTTTGCGAGGGTTTCCCACAGGCAAGCAAAACCGCAAGCCGGAGCTGGTGATGCAGAGGTGCCGGATTTAGGCAGCGCATCACGACCAAGTGGCGAGGGTCGGCGGCACCAGGGTGCACCCCCTATAGCTAAAGCTAGCAGGCTAATTGCCTAGCGGCGACATGCTACCCCAAGGAGGCGTAGCCGGATTTACACGCTGACGCGACACAGCCGGCCACCGGGCACCTTGCCCTGCTCGTTCTGTCACTTCCCTTTCCTGTAAGTCCGATTAGTAGATGTTAAGATTTTCAGATTCTAAAAACTTTGAGATTCTAAGGGTCTCAGATTTGAAGACTGTCGGAATTTAAGGTTTCAATGGTTTAAGAATTAAGGTTTTAAGATTCAAAGATTTAAAGTTTTTGAAGTTTATAACAGCCAGGCCATTGCCCAGCCATTTTCCATCTATTATCAGATTTCGAAGGCTTTAAGATTTTATTTTCGGAGATTTTCAGGTTTGGCGACTTTCGGAATTTAAGATTTTAAGATCTCAAGATTTCAAGGCTTCAAAGTTTCAAGATTAAGAGTTTAAGGAATTTAAAATATAGCCCGGATTGAAGGAATTTTATTATATTTGACTTGTTTATGAAGTTAAGATTTTCAGATTGCAATAGTTCGAGATTTAAAGAATTTTAAGTTTTGAAAGCTTTTCAGATTCTGAGATTTTAAGACTTTGAGAATTCAGGAAGTTCATATTTTTAGATTTTAACATCTGAAGATTCAAAGATATTCGGGTTTTAAGAAGTCAAGATTCGAAGACTTTAGGATGTTTATATTTTCAGATTGTAAGATTCGATCTTCTAAGGTTGTAAGTTTAAGATCTTGAGGTTTCAAGATTTCCAAATTTCAAGAGTAAGAGTTTAAGACTGTAGGAATTTCAAATTTTAAGAGTTTAAGATCGCAAGATTCTAAGACATAAGGGTTTTAAGATTTCAAGATTCGAAGACTTTAGGATGTTTTTATATTTTCAGATTTTCGGCAAAGTTGGCCCGACTTAGGGGACAACATCCCCAGCATCCCCCGAGACTTTAGGATGTTTTTATATTTTCAGATTTTAAGCTTTAGGATTTTGAGATTTCAATCCAGGCCATTTTCCATCCATTTTCCATCCATTTTAAGATTTTAAGATTTTCAGGTTGCACGTTTTCGGCAAAGTTGGCCCGACTTAGGGGACAACATCCCCAGCATCCCCCGAGACTTTAGGATGTTTTTATATTTTCAGATTTTAAGATTCTAAGTTCGAAGATTTTAAGATCTCGAGATTCTAAGATTGATTGTTAGATTTTAATTTAAGATTTTAAGAATCTAAGACTTTAGGATTTTGAGATTTCAACCCAGGCCATTTTCCATCCATTTTCCATCCACTTTAAGATTTTAAGATTTTCAGGTTGCACGTTTTCGGCAAAGTTGGCCCGACTTCGGGGACAACATCCCCAGCATCCCCCGCATCACCGGCATCATCCGCATCAATGTCCGCCAAGGATGCGGATGATGCAGGTGATGCCGGGGATGTTGTCCACTATGGGCACTGCGGGCCTAGGCCTTCGGCGATGTCACGGACCACGGGGTGAGGGGCCCCCGGTGGCCGGATTTAAGGGCTGCCGCCCAGTGCCGCCGACCCCTCCACTAGGGGCCAGCCCAGGTTTTTTTGTTCTGGCAGCGCCTTTTGGCTGGTTCAGGCTTGCTTGCTTGCTTGCTTGCTTGCTTGCTTGCTTGCTTGCTTGCTTGCTTGCTTGCTTGCTTGCTTGCTTGCTTGCTTGCTTGCTTGCTTGCTTTCTGACAGAGCTTCAGCGCTGAAAGCTGTGCCCAGCAGGTAGTTGAGCACTCTCGGCCTCCTCAGCTCAGGGGCAGCTGGTGTAGTGGCTCACACCCGCTCAGCGTGCGAGAGGGCCCGGGTTCCATCCCCGGCCTGTCCATGCCCATGTGCGCCTGCGTCTGTCACAGTTTGCCTATCCCTGGTCTTTCTCCCTTTGGGTTTGCTGTGCGTCTTGCCAAGGGCGGCTGCTCCGCCGCGGCCGGGTGCCGAACGTCACTTTTGAATCCTATATAGAAAGTAGAAAGCTATCGGTCCCCAGGGCGCAACCAGCAAGAACAGCTTCGCGTCCAGCGCGCTTGGAGGCCGCACTCGCTTCGCTCGCAGCGAGCACGAACCAAAGGAGTGCGCCGGCAGCCTGCTCCGCCGCGGCCGGGTGCCTAACGTCGCGTTTGAGTCCAATATGCAGTAAGGCTATCGGTCCAGAGGGAGCGGCCAGCCACAAAAGCTTCGCTTCCCGCGCTTTTCCAGGCCGCACTCGTTTGTCCACAGCGAGCACCAACCAAAGGAGTGCGCCGGCAGCAGAAAGGAAAAGGAAAGAAACCATGCGCCGGCAGCAGAAAGGAAGAAAAGAGGCCGAACGGGCGGGACACAGCGAGCACCAACCAAAGGAGTGCGCCGGCAGCAGGAAAAAAGGCCGGACGGGCGGGCCGTGACAGAGCTTCAGCGCTGAAAACTGTGCCCTGCAGGTGCTTGAGCGCTTTTCCAGGCCGCACTTGTTTGCCCACAGCGAGCACCAACCAAAGGAGTGCGCCGGCAGCAGATAGGAAGAAAACAGACCGAACGGGCTGGCCGTGACAGAGCGCGCTGAAAGCTGTGCCCAGCAGGTAGTTGAGCACTCTCGGCCTCCTCAGCTCAGGGGCAGTTGGTGTAGTGGCATCACACCCGCTCAGCATGCGATGCGGGTTCAATCCCCGGCCTGTCCATGCCCATGTGCGCCTGCGTCTGTCACAGTTTGCCTATCCCTGGTCTTTCTCCCTTTGGGTTTGCTGTGCGTCTTGCCAAGGGCGGCTGCTCCGCCGCGGCCGGGTGCCGAACGTCACTTTTGAATCCTATATAGAAAGCTATCGGTCCCCAGGGCGCAACCAGCAAGAACAGCTTCGCGTCCAGCGCGCTTGGAGGCCGCACTCGCTTCGCCGCAGCGAGCGCGAACCAAAGGAGTGCGCCGGCAGCCTGCTCCGCCGCGGCCGGGTGCCTAACGTCGCGTTTGAGTCCAATATGCAGTAAGGCTATCGGTCCAGAGGGAGCGGCCAGCCACAAAAGCTTCGCTTCCCGCGCTTTTCCAGGCCGCACTCGTTTGTCCACAGCGAGCACCAACCAAAGGAGTGCGCCGGCAGCAGAAAGGAAAAGGAAAGAAAAGAAACGAAGAAGAACAAGAAAAAAGGGGAAGAAAGAAGGCTGGTAAGGTACAGGGCTGAACGGGCAAGGGCGAAAGGGAAGGGAGAAGGCTGCCACAGTCACGCTCCAAAGCTAAACGAACACTCCCCCAGCGCCTTCCCCTTGCAGGCAGGGGATTTGGAAAGGGTATCATATTAGGACATTCTTGGAGGACCCCGGGCTCCAGATTACGAGGCTTTGGGGGCCCAAAATTGGACATGTCGAGAATTTAAATTGCTAGTTTCCAGATTTATCATCGCTACACGGCACCAACACCAGGTTCTTTGGGGGGGGGGGGGGTTGTATACATATACTTATATATATATATATATATGCACACATACATTGTACACCATGTATACACAATTGGGTACGCCACACACACACACATCTCGTGCGCATGCGGACCCAGTAGCTTTGCATGCCACTCTTTTGCAGCACAGGTCTTTGCTGCTATAGACACTACCAGCAGTGGCGCTGCTTTGGCAGCAGAGCGCTGTTTGAGGGATGGCTGTTCATCACGGTTCACTATAGTAATGCCATCAGATTGCGGGCTGATCAGCACCTGCCTGAACACGCTTTGACTGGAAGTCTCACACTATTATTGAGAACTGGAATGTCATTGTGCTTGGACTGGCAATTTGCATCGAACCTTTCGCAGAGAGCTGGTTCCGACCACGTTGGCCAGCCGGACAGCTTCCCAGGCTTTGACGCTGGACGACCTGCAGAGCTTTTTGTGCGACTTCTTGGGCTTTGGTCAGGCTGAGGTGGCCGCCTTCCACCAGCGCTTCGGCGAAGGCGGGCGCACGGAGTCAGACGCTTCCCTTGTCACGCACCGGGCTTGCAGTTGCAAGGGCTTGACAGCACGCCTCAAAGATGATGTTGCAGGCGATGCCATGTCCCTGGAGGGCTTCAAGAAAGGCTATGCTAGCTTGGGACTGAGGGCGAGCTGCATCTCTTTTAAAGTGGCAGAGTTGGAAGAGTTGCATGGCTAGACCATACCAAGCACTTGCTCCCATGGCGTAAATATTCGCAATTTGTATCTAATCCCAGGCCAGCAGCATCCTGGCAAAAAAGGGAAGTCCTGTCAATGCGCTGACCGACCTTGCAAGGCCTGAACCCATTCACACTGACGAAGCGCCGCAAGCCTTGGAACTCGTTCCGCTTCATGCTGTGCTGGATATCCAGAGCCAGTCGGGAAGTGCATACCTAACTTTTGATCTTTGACGCACAGTTTGTCACATGCGGCAATTTGGGCCCGAAATAGCGCTTGACGCTTGGACCGTGTTCCTTTTGACCACGATCCAAACGGGACTTAGCTGATTTTTGGCACCTGAAGCATTTGAGGTCACAAGGAGCTGATCATTCGGAAGTCTGGATCGTCTGTGGCCTACAGCGCTTGTGTGGCATGTCTGGTTTTGTTTGCTGCAGTTGTTGTTTTTGTTGTGTTGTTGGTTGTTTTCTTATTTCTTTTTCGCTTAAAACAAACAACATGGGAGAAAGAAAATAAGAAGCAAAAGATGGAGGTGGGTGGCATAGATGTTGCAGGCACAACAGGAGGTTGTCAAGGCCCAGGAATTTGTTGCCAACGTGTGCCACGTTAGGCCCATGATGTGCATGTAAGCACACTGCAGTTTTGCTGGAGAGGACCACCCATGCATTTCCACAAGGCATGGCGACCTTGGTCATTGCCAGCCTTCGCGGCTAACAAAACAACAACACAACAAAAACAACAACTAACAAACAAACAACGGAAACACGGGAACAGCTGAAACTGGGGACGAAAATTCCCGCCTTCCGAGGCTGAGCTCTGCCGGGCTGCAGGCCCTGCAGCTGGAGGAGCTGGAGGACAGCGAGGCAGGAGTTCAAGATCGGGCACTCTCCCCCACCAAAAAAACAATATACAAATAGGTAAATAGCATGAAATTAAATAGACAAATGCAGCTATTGCTTTTTTTCTTAAAAATAGAAAGCACCCCTCAGAACGAACACACTGGGCATTTGAGTATCTGACAGAAGTATTGGGCGGTTTGGGGAGAGGACATGCTGGAAATTCCCAGGTAAATTCCCGTGCCCAACAAGTAATTTGCTGAAGGGCTCATCTGCATCCCACGTGGATCAGGGGCCAGGATGAGCTCGACCTACCGGCTGAATGTGTTCTATACATGTGGTGCCCTTTTTTGTGGGTAGCCCCTTTCAGTTTTTGAGCTAAAGGAAACCAGACAAAAATTGGGTGCCGGAGCCCTATAAAAAGCCACGAGCCACCCATATGGTTCTTTCTGGCTCGAACGGGTGTTCAATTCACGGGCCTCGCAAGCTTTGTTTTACTAGAGCTGGATACAAGGTACAATCCGTGCAAATCTAGTCGAACTCAAGTCAAAAGGCTGCCGCTACACACGCTCAAGGGCAACGCCGGCGCAGGTATACGTCTGTGAGCTCACCAACACTGCCTATGTTGATGTGTGTGGCTGGCTTATGTTTCAAACGCCAGAAAAGTACACGCGGCACTCGAGCTGCCTGCATGTGTGTGCCTTGACCTCCTCTGAGGCAAGCGCTGCGCTATCCTCATAGGCGCAGCCATGGAGTCAAAAATAGGCACCCAACATGGAACCCTGGTAAATGGAAACATGGAGTCGAACCTCAGGCTCCCTGGCGGTTTAATTTTGACCCATACCCACATGGGGCCCCACCCAGCACCAAATGATATGCGCAGCGGGGATGCGAGCGAAAGGGCTGCGTGCTAGGCCCCAGTGAGACCTCGGTCTTTGTTCGGGACTGTGCCCTGGCAGCAAGACGGGCAGGGAAATGAACCAGCAGCGGTTGAGTTTGACCCGAAAAGAGCTAAGGCACCCCCCCTTCTCAACCTGGCAACTGAAACAACGCTGTCGGCAATTAAGTTTCAGGCTTGGACCTGCCACGGCCCAGCTCATCGTTATTTGCCGGATATGGCTCGTGGACGGCTGGTTGGCAGAGTTGGTTTCATTATGCGGCCTTTGCATAGTGCCGGACCATACCAAAGCTTTGGTTGCAAAGCGAGACTTGGATTTGGCTGTGGGTCAAAACCAACGGTACCGTGCACCACCCATTTTGCATTTTAGTGGGGAGTGGGCTGTTCACTGGGGGTACGATTTGGATTTTGACGATTTTGACCCATGGCCATTTGGCCAAGGCGAGGACTGCGTCTTTTGGCCCGGAGCTCAGTTTGAAGCGTCGCGAGGCCCAGCTGCGCACCGAGGATCGCCGCCCAGCAGCTGCGCACCAGAGACTGCAAGCGCTGCAGCTTCTTCCTCTACTCCAAGCGGGATGCTCAGCAAGATGGGGTTCACACCTGGGTGTTTTGTGAGTGTCTCTGTTTGTGTGTGTGTGTGTGTGTTTTGTTTCATGTTCAATGGCTTCTTCCAAACCTTTTGGTTTGGCATTGAAACGGAACACGTCGACCCTGGGTGAAGCCCGTCGGCGCTCGAGCTGTTGGAAGGCCACTAGCCAAGGACCGAGCCCGTCATTGAGTCATCCGAGGATTTGGTGCAAGCCTCATCCGCAGAAGTTCTGCGTTGCCCAGTGTTGTATCTCCACTTTCTGGTTTCTTCTGCCTTGATCTGTATTTGAAACAAAGGAAAGCAAGTTGGAAAGAAGAGAAAGACAAACCTGGTGAATGGCGGTTCATCATGATGACACCTGAATGTTGTGAGCAGCAACTTCCCTTGGTTCCGCTCCGCCCTAAATCCTTGGCCATGGGCAAGCAAAGCCATCAGTCAAGCCTGGCTGCACAAAGAGCGGCATGCTCGACGGCGGATTGATTTGAGGCCTTCGCTCCCTGGAGCGCCAGCTATCCATGCTCAAAGGTACGCAGGGACTCAGGGGGTTTGGTTCAATCATTTGATGTCTTGCCCTATGGGGCAAGCCAGGCTCATTTCGAGAAACTCGGCTTCAATCCAGCCCCAAGCTCGGTATTCCCTGAGCGATCCTTGGAGCCGGGGGTCGATTTCTTAAGGAGAAGAACTTGTGGAATGCCATCTACGACTTCTCTGGGAAAGTCGGCAAGTGCAACTGGTCAGCCGGCACAAGTTTTTGCTATCTTGCTGATCACCATGGATTTCTACACAGCTAGTTAGATCCAGGGTGTATGTGGGGCATGAAAGCCTCGCTTTGGCAGGCGCATCCTCGGTTTGGAAGAAACCGCCCGCCTCCAGATTGAGCTCGAGGAGATCAGGGGAGTGGGAGCGCCTCCAGATAGCTTCTGTGAGGCCCCCACGGATTTTTGGTTTCCCTCTTGGTGGATGCAAGCCAGAAAACCAACAACTTGGAGGGTCTATTATTTGGGCACATCAGCATTTGTGCGTCTCTCAAGGACCCGCCACCGAAGCCCGAACCAGAGAATCCTGCTGCGCGCAGCTGGCGAGTGGGAACTTTGAGGGTAATCACCTTCAGAGAGGGTGTTTCCCGAACATCTTTGTTTTGACTTGCCGGCACCCTTTCTGGCTCTACAAAGAAGCAATTCCTGCTTGGCCTGCTTACCTGCTTGTGCACGGCAGGCCATTGACATATGAAGCGCTGTGTGCCGAGCCTTTGGAATCTGGTGAGTCCTGTGGCACGGCACCCGGTCTTTTGCAGTGGCCCGTGTGGGCATGATCCCTCCGAACAATGGCAGTGTGAGGTACGAGCGTTGGCCAGATTCCGCAGACGCGGCCGGCGCTACCTGCGGCGCCGCCGATGGATTTCAAGGAGGCAGGCGAAGCTTCAAAATCATACCAGAGCAGCATGCTGAATGAGCCACAGTCCATTGCCAAGCTGTTGGAAAAGGTCACACACAGCACACAACGTTTGGACACCGGCTCCCTGCAAGGTCCAGCAGATTGTCGTGTCCCTTCCTTGGAGCACAGCAGCCGATGGGTCTGATTTAGGGATCTCTATGGACATAATGAAGCCCCACACGAGACATGACTCTTGGAGCTGGCCTGAGCCCCAAGGCAGGATGGTGGCAAGCTTGCAGCTTTGGAGCAGCTGTCGTTGCCTGAGAGACGCACACAGGTCGTCAGTATGTTGCTGTGTTGCTTATAACTTATGACTCTTTTTAACGACCAAGGGTGCGCCTTCGCCGGAAGGACAGAGGGCAAGGGCAAGCATGTTGTCAGATAGTGTAGATGGGACCGTCAATCGCTCTCAGTTCTTCATGTGCAGATTGATTCAGGGTAGCTTCCCTTTGCATGTCATCTAATGCTCACAATGTGGCGGCATTCAAATCGGGGCCTTGGACACTGACTCACAGGATTCATCCTCGCAGCCAAGTACACCTGGAGTCCTGCACTCGGAGACTTTGCACATACGAATCCATGAATCGTCTCCAGGAATGTTTCAGAGAGCCAGAAGGAAGGCAATTGATGTTGGGTGCCCGGCCTCAGGCTCTTGCAATGGCCACGCTGGCGGGGAAGACCCTTATGAAGGCGGAGATAGAGGGTTGTGTATTGCCAATGATTGCAATGCCAAGAAAAAGATCAACACTTAAACATGGAGGTCAGGAGGCAGCCATTCTTGTGAGAGCTTTTGTAGTTTATTTCTCTTTGAGACCCAACCTGAAAGCACTTCTGGGGGCGTGCACTACGATGATTGACGTAGGGTTGCTCCTACGTTACCACAAGGGTTTGACCCCAGCACTCATATGTCACACAGCGTAGCAGCCTGCATCATTTTGAGTTCCAGCTTGCTTTGACTTTTCGCACATGAGCCCAACTCACTTTTGTTTGCCACATTTTGTAAACCTTGCGTCTGTCGAACATATTTTAGTAGGTGGCTTACAAACATGGTGAGTACCAAATACTGACCCGCTTGTCAGGCAGGAGGCGGCTCAGCGGAGATGGAGGCGGTGAGTGGGGCTGCGGTTCAGATACCGATATTGGCTGGCGCCAGAGGGTGATCCTGTTCTTTGCAGGATGTGACAATGTGAAGGGCTGAATTTCTCATGGGATGAGACTTTCTTTTTCAAAGTGCTTCGGGCCAAGTCTGCGCGTTCACAGCTTGCGCTTCAGGCAGTTGCTAAAGCAACCCCTGCCAGTGCAAGTTCGGCCTTGCTCTCAGATTTTGTTGGCAATGGACTACCACTGAACACATACAACTGGGCTGGCGCAAGGCTCTTGGCATGGCACGGCTCGCTGGGCAAACACTGATGGAGGCGCTGCCAGGGACATGTCAGACTGCACTTGCAAGAGCCAGTCAATGCTCGCAGCCAATTCCGTCTATCGTGATGGTCACTTGAGCTATCATCAGTTGACATCCTACCGCAAAGTTACTGACCCGCTTGTCAGGCAGGAGGCGGCTCAGCGGAGACGGAGGCGGTGAGTGGGGCTGCGGTTTAGATACCGATATTGGCTGGCGCCAGAGGGTGATCCTGTTCTTTGCAGGATGTGACAATGTGAAGGGCTGGATTTCTCATGGGATGAGACTTTCTTTTTCAAAGTGCTTCGGCCAAGTCTGCGCGTTCACAGCTTGCGCTTCAGGCAGTTGCTAAAGCAACCCCTGCCAGTGCAAGTTCGGCCTTGCTCTCAGAGTTTGTTGGCAATGGACTACCACTGAACACATACAACTGGGCTGGCGCAAGGCTCTTGGCATGGCACGGCTCGCTGGGCAAACACTGATGGAGGCGCTTGCCAGGGACATGTCAGACTGCACCTTGCAAGAGCCAGTCAATGCTCGCAGCCAATTCCGTCTATCGTGATGGTCACTTGAGTTATCATCAGTTGACATCCTACCGCAAAGTTACTGACCCGCTTGTCAGGCAGGAGGCGGCTCAGCGGAGACGGAGGCGGTGAGTGGGGCTGCGGTTCAGATACCGATATTGGCTGGCGCCAGAGGGTGATCCTGTTCTTTGCAGGATGTGACAATGTGAAGGGCTGGATTTCTCATGGGATGAGACTTTCTTTTTCAAAGTGCTTCGGGCCAAGTCTGCGCGTTCACAGCTTTCGCTCAGGCAGTTGCTAAAGCAACCCCTGCCAGTGCAAGTTCGGCCTTGGTCTCAGATTTTGTTGACAGTAAACTACCACTGAACACATACAACTGGGCTGGCGCAAGGCTCTTGGCATGGCACGGCTCGCTGGGCAAACACTGATGGAGGCGCTTGCCAGGGACATGTCAGACTGCACCTTGCAAGAGCTAGTCAATGCTCGCAGCCAAATTCCGTCTATCGTTACGATGACTTGAGTTTGGTGAGTTGGTTGAGGTGAGCTGGCAGCAAAGGAGCATTGCTTTCCGGCAATTTCCCACAAGAAAACGCATTTCGAATCATTTCTCAGATGTGTGGTTTTGACCCACAATTTGCAGAACAGATTACGGATTAAGCAGATTACCAACCAGAACAAGGATGAAGCAGATCACGGACTGTGATTAGGCCTCTGGGATTTTGAACAGGCTAGGTAGTTGCATAGCAATCCGCTGGCTAGCGCTGCTGAGGAATTGCAATGTTGCGGAATAAGATTCAGATTTGCTGCACGGTGGCAAAACCTGCCCGTGAATGTGGCGCTGCAGGCTACATTGCTGTGGACATTCAAGGGCTACATTGAACAGATTCAGTCTATTCGTGCAAAATTACATTTTGAATGCAGCCCCTTGACGGCAATAGAAAAGAACCATGTAGCGTCCAGATTCAGAAAACGTTCGCTAACTTGGTTGAAATCTGGCAAACTGAGGGCTACGTTGGCCCATCTTGTGTTGAACTTGGGAATGTAGCCTCCTCGCGGGGTAAGATGATATGAACTCAAAATGAGCCGCGCTAAAGCCCTTCTGTTCATGTTCAGTAAAGGCCTTGCAATAGCACAGGCCATGCGCGCGTAAGCACGCTAAGTTTTTTTTTTTCTTTTTTTTTTTCGAGGATCCTTGGGCAAGCTGTCGGAGCAGTTTCAGCACTTGAGGCGGAGCGCGCTCGAAACCCAAGGCTTTGTATCACAGTGCTGGCCATGTTGAAGGTATACCAAGTGTACTTTGCGTGCTACTCCCATATTGAATCGGACTTTGAGCGCCACGTTCGCGCCAGGAAGGCCTCGCGTAAGCCATCGCTGCTGTGGCGTGCAAATATATTGCCGAGCACGGCCTGCGTAAGCCTCGCGTAAGCTCTGCCATTAAACGCCTCTGCACAAAAAAGCTGATGGTGTGCGCGCACAAGCCGCGCGCAAGCGTCATAAGCAACTTGCTATCGCAGAGGAATCAATGGGTATTAGCGCGGCTCAAATGTGGGTCTAAAAGATATCCCAAATGGAACCCTGGTCGGAAGGGACCAATTCCTGTGGTCCCCTGAGTGAGGCGGGGACTACGGTGCATGGCACCATGGCCGTGGAGGAGGAGGACAGCAGCGGGGACTCTCCGAGGTGCGGATGTCCGGGGCAGGCCTTGGCCGTTTCGGTCTGGGAGGCAGACCAACTGATTTGCCCATGGGGCAAAATCCGGTCCCACTCCCCACTGAAATCGACCAAAATGGGCGGTGAAGTCAGCTCCAAAATGGGATCCCATTGGTTTGGATCGGCCACTTTTCGAAAGGATGGTTGCCATGAGCCTGAAAGCTGTCAGGCCAGCGCCCTCGAAGGCGCCGAAACCTGCGGCAAAGCCCGCCGCCAAACCGGATGCGGCCCAGGCGGAGCGGCGGAGTGAGGTTTCAGAAGTGGGTATGGGTCAAAATTACACCACCATGGGACCACAGGTTTAATCCATGTTTCCATTTACCAGGGTTCCCATTTTGGGTACATATTTTTGACCCGATGCCAAGTTAGATCAATAGCAGTCCTGTTTGCATGTCAACCTGTGCTTCACGAATGCCATTCGGAGTGAGCAGATGAATATGTTCAGATGGCGCAAGCAGTCCTTGATGTTGTAAGCGCATTTGACATTTCTGCTGCAGTCACCAACACCTAGCAGGTGAGCATCTATCGAGGCTGATTGAACGTGGCACACTTTGTGTTTGAGACAATGGCTTTCTGCTTTCTGCTTTTTTTTTCTTCTTCTTCTTTCTCTCTCTTCTCTCGTTTTGACAGTGCTGACAGCTGCCCTTCGCGGTTTGCCAGGTGAGAAAACTCCTGGGCACGCAAGCTCAGCCTTGAAATGCTTGTTTGCGCATACAGTATGCAATGTAATATTCAGGTATACAGCATCCAATATACACACTTGCGCATTTGCACAGACGCACATTGCATGGGCATGCACATGGCACGGTTAGATTAAGTCTGATTGAGAGAAGGTGCTGAGCCCACACAAGGCGAGTCAAGCGACGAGGAGTCCGAAGAAGCGAAACCCTCGACAGCTCCCTCAGTGTGGTTCTCAATTCAGCCACGCAAGGGTGTGGCCACCTCTGAAGCCCTAACGTGGTTCGCAAATGATACACATAAATAAATATATATATATATATTATCAATATGTTATTACCCGTCCCTGGCAGCAATGCCCACTCAGGCCAGCGCTGCTTTGCCGAAGCTTTCTCTGGGCAAGGCATCGCCATAGTTGTTTTTCTTTTGCTGTGGGGACACGTTCCATCACTGTGAGCGGGAAGGCCGTTTTTCAGCTGTGCAGAACTGTACAGGCCATGCCAAAACCCGCAGTGAACCGGGCGTGCCAGCCTTAGACAATTTGGATGCTCCAGCATTTGGGAACTGTCAGCTGCTTCAGGCACCCGGTTGCAGTTGATTCAGAGGAAGACGACGACTCGGACAGCGCAGTTTATTTATGTCACACAAGTACAGGCCTTCACAGCTGCCCCTGATATGGTTTGTCCATGCTGTTCTTGTTCAGCGCCAGCGGTTTTATCGCCAGCACTCTGCAAGGAATAATTAGTGCCCCTGCCTTGAGTTTTGGAAGGACTGCGACAACTTAATGGAGCTCGGGGATCCACGCCATTGCTTCTATCTTTGAGCCGGGCAATGAGATGTAGCCGTTGGCTGGAGTTGTCTTTTAGCTTGAAACCCCAAAGTAGCCTGGAACTCAAGGAGTTGCAAAAGGGAGAGAACTCAACTGGGCGTTTCGCAGGCTTTAATCTACTTTTCCACATACTAGGCTTCCATTTTGGGGCCCTATGCTTGAATCACAGCCAACTAGGTCACGTGTATGGCAGAACAGGGCGAATCCGGGCAAAGCGAGCGCCACAAGAAGAGGTGTTGGCCGAGAATCAGCTTGTAATGTCATGAGAGGCATTAATTTTGCCGGAGTGTTCACATGCCACTCACGTGCCACGCGTCCTTGGCAAGCCATAGTCTTCAGATAAAACCTGGGCGCTTTAAACAAAACACTTAGCTGGCACACGGCCGTGTATTGGCCGTGTTATCCAAGGTTTTGTAGGATCACTTTCAATTTGAGTGTGGCTTTTTGCTACTGTTGGAACACAAGTTCTACCGAGCCTTTAGTTGAATGCATGGGAGCCATGAATCACAGCCTTGCCGCAGGACATTGAAGAAGCAATGAAGAAAGCAGCAGCTGCAGCTTTTATGCACGAGAGGGGCGGCTGGTAAGCCACACAGATTCATTCTGAGGGCTTCCAACTCTTTGTATACTGCCTTGGAATGGCACCTTGCCAGCCATGCCAATGCCGAGCACTGAACCTTAGGCAGCTTCAGCTTCACGAACATCGCCTCTTGGAGGCGCAGTGGTATGAGATCCGCGCGCGGCATCTTGGCTTTGCTGTCATATGTGAGCTTGGAAGGCAGTTCGGCGGCCAAGCAGCTTGTTTGCATGGGATGTGAATCGTTTCCAAGATTCCGCAGCTGGATTGCTTTTGAGTATGAATCCAAACAGACATTAAGCGCGAGAGAAGTAAATTGCCGCCAAGGTCAGCACCCACGTCGCTCCGCATCATCCTCAGTTTGATTTGTGCTTGCCAACCTCTCCGCTGGCCAGCCTGGTCTTAAGCACATTTGGGTCTAGTTAAAAAGAAAAAGGGCACCTTCAGAATCACAGGACACGGGTAGTTCAAGCGCTTCACTTGCACTTGACAACGGGGCTTGACTAGAATGCAACAATTACAGCTTGGCTTTTTCTCCAGGCCTGTCACCGCAGTCGCGGGCGGAGGCGGCAAAGTGCATCCTTGAAGCATGGGCGTGTTGAGGGCAAACGACAGGCTTTCTCAAATAGTGCATGACCTTGAGCTGCTTAAAGCTGTCCAGGGATCCTAGAGTTTGTGGATTTCTGAATGTTGCAGATGCCGGACTGTTCAGTGTTGCCCCATTTGCCAACCTGCGAGGCAAGTGTGCCAGTGGTGGACGATGAAGGCTTGGCAAAGTGAACGTGGCAACATTCACCTTCAGAAAGGTGTTCAATCGCCTCTCATGAGAAGTCAGCGTGCTGCATGATGCTTTGCACTAGCTTGTGACAGACGACGACTCTGGCAATGACTTTGACGAGGACAGATATTGATGACACATCCTTTAGCTTCATGACTCCATTTGCCTAGAATCGAGTGGCCCTCGCAGCGTTCCTCGTATGGGTGGCCTAACCAATGAGACTGAGCATGCTCCTCCGAAACCCTCGTGTCTGCCTGAGACTTGAGCCAATTGACACTTGCCAGAGTAAGATATGATACACCTGCGTGCCATGGCAGCGTGCCAGGACATTGACCTGCCAATGTGATTTTCCGAAAACCAACTTGGACCCGTGCTATTGCACGGTGTGGCATGCAGCATTCAAAGTTGTGGTTGTACCCCAATGCTGCATGCATGATATGTACCCGGTGCATGAACTTTGCAGCCTGGCCTTATGTTGTGGCATGGTCGTGGTTGACCCTTTAGACATGTGCCAGACCTGCCAGCATGAATTAGCTTCTGCTTTGCGGAATCGGAGTGACCATGGCGCTCCTCGTGTACAGTAGAATTTAGTTGAAAGGGCGATGGTCTCCAAATCATTTTTGGCTCCACAGTTTGACCCAAGGGATGCATGATGAATTTGGAACACCTGCAGCATACTTTGCCAAGATTAGTTTAGTTTTGCCGTTTGTAGAAAGCCATGGCCGCAGTGGGGGAGGTAATGGATACGATCAACACGGTCTGCCGTGCCAGAGGCGGCCACTATGCTCGCTACAGCTGCAAGGCCATTGCATATGCTTTACTTGCAGCCCGAGATTAGACTTGAGCACCATGCGTTCTGTTGTTTCATACTCCACTTGCAAGATTGGGCAGGTCGTGTCTTGGGACGATGTCAGTCGTGGAACAGTTGGAGGAGCATTGTCATGCTGGGGTGCAAACATCACAGACACCTACCTCAAGAGCAAGACTCTTGGATGACAACTGGCTTTTCCTTGTTTGATTAGAACCGTGTCACTGATGCAAACAAACCCTAGAATCAGGAGCGGTGCCAGCCTCTTCACGGTTCGCAGTGACAACTGGAATGAGAAGCTGGGGGTTGTGAGGGCGGAAGATGTGGCCGTGGTTGCAGGCAGCGGAGGCGGGCCTTTGCAGCCAGTCACTCTGCGCACGGTTCTCCAGCAGTTGGGGCAGTTCGGCAGCTACGCTGGGTTGGACAGCAGTGCTGACCTCTCGAACCCTGAGCTGGATGCCAAGTGCTCCATCCGTTTCCAGACCACCTTCATTCCTGTGGACGGCCCCGACGGTTGCGGCAAGCTCGAGTTTGCGACAGAGGCGTACAACTACAACACCATGGATGATGCCGACCCACGCAACCTGGTACTGCTGTGCACCAGCCAGGGCATGGCAGTGCAGCAGGATGGCCGCGGGACCAAGAAGCTCTTCCACCACGCAGCGGACGACAGTGGCGTCAT